CTTAGTCAGACAATGAGTGGGACACTTTACCGAGTCTTTTAAGTCATAAGAAGTAGCGATTTTTTATTTTATCAATATAATTGTTATGTGAAAGTTTTAGAGGCAAAATCATAGTCTTTATTCAGTGATAGACAATATATTTACTTTACAAAAAAAAAACATCACCAAAAACAGTAAGTTAGACAAGGCAAAGGCATCACGACTCTCAGATTCAAGACATAGTCATATTAATTTTGCAAATTGATGATTTATTTCCCGGTTGGTACTCTATCCCGGGTCCTCAGACTTGAGAACACATTGAAACCGGTGTGCAAGCACACACCATCGGGTATAACCAAGAAAATTAACACAGCGTATACGAATAATAATATCGTTTGAAAAATAATTAACTAAAATATAAAAATATTAGTTGCAAATTAAGTGTTAAGCCAGTCTTTAGACTCCAGTTTACGAAGTTTTGCACCGAGGATTGAACAGAGAAGAAGTTTTAAGGTCAAGTGTCAAGTTATTATGATGTTTAATAAAGGAAACCAAATACACCGTCACAGCCGTATATTTTGCTCTGTACCGAAGTATTGCAATTGTTTGTATTCTAAATTTATAAGTGATTGATTTTTATTTTTGAACTGAGAATTTAGTATGAAAATTGCCAAAAGGCATTGCAAATAATGTATATATTTTGTTGTAATTGCATATACAACAAAATATATACATTAGCAAACAATGCTAATGTATATATTATTTTAAATAAAACTTAAAATACATTAAATTATTAAAAAAATACGTTATACACAATATATATACATACATTGCACTTTTATGAAATCATAAAGGAGTTGATAATAAAACCTCAATGTTGTTTAAACTTCAGACTACTGGGCTACCATTATCATACATTTTTTAGATTCAATCGCTAACTCTTGTTTCTTAACACGCTTTAGCCCGCGGGTGCGTTCACCTCTTGAGTTTGTCGCGTCTGTCGGGTTCACTTGACGCCCACTCCAGCTAGTTACTCACATATTAGTCGATGGCTATGTGTTTTGGGGATCCTTGGTGTTTCAAACATTTTCAAGCACGGCATCTTTAATATTATTTATTTTCTCAAAAATCATTATCACTTTGATGGAAAATAAACAAGAGTTTATTTAAGTCCCTTCATCCAGTCATATACGACAGTAATTTTGTCTCTCAATTATTATACCTACCTCCATAGAAAAAAATAATACTACCACAACAAACCCTAGCGAAAGCTCTTTAAGCGACGTATTATCGATTTGCTTTTTGAATAATGTTGATTTTAAATCATTGGTTATTTTATTAATTTGGATGTTGTAATCTCTAATAATATTTGTAAATTTATTTTAATTAATTTAATATAATCTAATTCTGTTCTTTATTTTATGCACACAAAATATTATATAGTATTATGCAACCGTTATAATTGTCATGATAAGGCCACAAAAATTTGGTTTACAATCAAGTTTATAAAAAAATGGAATTACTGTAAATTAAACTTAATTTGGTTGTGAAATGTATCGTGTCCTAACTTAATAAATTAAAAAGGACATAATACAACCGTTTGTTTTTAATTTTTATTGATAATCACATAGGAAGTATACATATATATCCTTTGTCACTTTTTTACAACATTAATTTTCGTATAAAATAACTAATCCATTGTTATTTTTCTACTAATTATGTCGCGTATAAAAATAAAACACCATCTTTTCTAATATTATCTATTAATAGATATAGTTTCTAACTTTGTTAATTTGTGGGGGGGTAATCTTCGAAAATACTGACGCGATCATGAAAAGTCTTTCATCTACGTGAAGCCACATCATACGGGGAAACATACGTTGTAATTTACATGGAGAAAATAGCGGGAACATTTAGTGATAAACTGCCAACCTTATTATTTTTTTCTTTTTTTTTTTTGACGCTGAGAAATGCATTCCTTATGTCCGCTCCCCCCATGCGCTGGGGTTCACGGGGTCTGTGGGACTCCTCCTGTGGTCCCGCCCCCAGAGTGGGGGCTAGACAAAATACAGGAGTTTACCCACTAAAACTCAGCGATGTCCCTCTCATGGTGGGCGAGGCGCGGGATCGGCCCGAAGGCCATACACCGCGCAGTTGGCCCCCAGTAAACTGCCAACCTATACCAATTAAAGGTTAATTTAAAATATGATGATCAAACCACCGTTTCGTTAAGTCTCGTATCAACATTTTGTCTTTGATGTTAACTCTCTAAATCCTTGAGTAATTACCGCATTATAATGTATGTATATTTATATAATTTGCTTACATTTAACTTATTTAGTGAACCAGCTAGCCGTATTAACTGTAATACAACTTTATTAAGCCAAAGTTGTGGTTCGTGTGGTTATTTTGAAGTTATAAAGCAACATACGTATATGGAAAGGGGTGAGCTAAGTAAATAGCGTTGAATAGTGAACCACCGGAGCATAGTAAAATCCAGAAACGATTTAGTTCAATTTGATTACCGATTTGAATAGTAGGGTGATTATCATTTTGAATAAATACGGGACAAAGTAAGGAGCTTATTTTTGTTAGGAGCCGATTTAAAAATCCATTAAATTATGGTTTACTGAATTTTACATTATTATTTGTATTAGTCTTTATTTTTGGTCACGCGACAAAATATAAATAACGAACACAATAAGTTCAATAAGAAAAAAAAATAGTTGTTGTAAATCTGCAAATCTTAAAACAGTATCCATGTTCTAATTTATAATAAAACGTTCTAAATAGTGAAGTCACGAAACAAACTAAAGACGACCGTGCTTCTCAGCGCTGCAAAAATCTCGATGACACGATTTACGCTTGCATATCTATTGGATACAACTGTATTCCTGTAACATGACTTACGTGCGAGCGACAAAACTCATGAAGGCATGAATAATAATTGATCATCAATAATATTTGATCATCTAATATCACACGATCGCACGATTTGAAACGGGCTAGTGTGCTTATTTATAACTCGCGTCATCTTCAACAAGTTCTAAGAAATAATTAATATTTTATATATATTATGCGTCACTAATATATCAATTTGATTAAGTTAATTAGTTCTTTTACAGTACAGTAAATTGTACAGACTGACTGCCCGATTAAATCGTCTACATTTCTTGTATTATTATTAATTATGATAGTCATCATTGCTGTATAGGTGCGAAATGTTATAGATGGTATATTTTCTTTTTTTGCATACCATGCATCTTTAATCTGCTTACCCAATCACTCATAGCTTGCCAGTCCCATCCATATGCTCCTCAATGTCTTTCCATCATCAGTACTCGAAGGTTAACCAAATTTCTTTTTTTTTTAAGTTTAACCCAATGGTAAAAGATCGTACAAAGCACCAAAGGGTGGAATTGTAAAAAAAAAACTGTCCAAGAAGTTTTAACTCAAAGAGTTCAGCTTAGTCAGTTCATCTTGAATGAGTAGCAAGAAATCATCTTTGACCACAAAGGAGAATTACACACAATATGAGTAGAATAAGTTTTAAGTCATATAAATCCTTTAATTTTTTTTTATAAAGTATTGTTTATTTTCATGAACCACGACACAACAAAATCTACTACTAAAGACACTCAACACTAATAAAGATCTTAAATAAAATATATCCTGGAAATTTCGGATGTGTGGTCGCCTTACTATATATACTAGAGGTAGCTTTAAGCTTATGGTAAATTCTAGTTAACGTTTAGCTTCGTATGTTGCAGGATTAAGTCTTACTCAGACTCTCCAATTAACCAAAATGTTTTAATTAATACTGTTCAAGAGTTCATATACGTTTAGTTCAACATATTTGGGATTATATATTAACTAGCTATTTTCCCGCGGCTTAGCCTGTATAAATTATAGCTTATGTTACACGTGTATGATGTAGCTTCTTTGGTGAAAGAATTTTTATAATCGGTCCTATTCAAGCCTATTCAATATAAATAGTTGCCCACCTCGTAACAACACTAGCTATTCTGTCAAATAGAACCTTGAAATTGGGCAATAGTAATAACTTGACGTGCTATCAACTGTACCAAACATTGTTATCATTAATTAATAAACATTTATTACCTTTTGAAGGAGGTCTATATGATTTAATATCTATGACAGCGCTACACTCGACGTCCAGTGCGAAGATGTTTTATAACACATCTGTCCGTTGGTAATATATTTGATGAGCAAATGTGAGCGCGACTTATTAGATCGTATGTTTTATTTTAGTGACGAACCAAGTAGGGCTGCCTCACACGGACGCCAGATGGGGCCATCGGTTTTTTATGGCTTACATATTTTACGATGCGACCACCCTAATTTGGCACAATGAACGATTCGAAGAATTGCCACTTACTTTAGCAATTTGTATATGTATATAGGCATAAAAAAATCATGTCCGTTTATTCATAAAGACTGCAAAACCTTTTTATCGATTGTTTTGATCTTTTTTACATAAAAGATTAGAGAGATTCCCTGTGACTGAGTTTAATTGGTAGTAAATATAAATTTTTACAAACAAATTTGAACAAAAATCGTCATTGTTTAGGTGAAAATCATATCGAACGATTTTGTGCTTCCTGTTCTTAGACGTATCTGCATTCGTCAGCACTAAAGTTTGCTGCCACTATTATAAAGTTAATTGAAATATGGTATATACTTTATGATAATTATACTTAGATTATTATGACGGATTAACAAAGTTAATTTTTGTTTCCTGGTTATAAATTTCAGTTTTAATTCATATTTAATAATGTCGGTAAGTCGACCAAAAATTTATGTTACTTTTGAGTAGAGGCAACACTTCTTCTTTTTTCGTCCCCCTTCTACTACTCTGCTGCGATCACGATGTGTTGTTGTTTAAATAAAAAATATTATAACGATCAACTGGTGTTTTAACGTGCACGAACCCAATACAAGTACAAAATAAATAGTAATACTGATGAAATAGCTGTAAAGACAAATTTCTTTGCCGAAACATGGTTGACATATTCGTCGCAAGTTTGTCGCTTGCCTTACATGATATATCTTGATTGATATCAACTCCATAAAGGAGACGAGATGACCAATAAGGATCGATCGTTCATGCCAAATAATTTATTGTGATAGAACTGAAGGAGGAAAATACCTAATTTGTAAGACGTTCGACCCACAGACATTTTTGATTATTTTTTGGAATAGTTGTATAAATAAAAAATATTTTTTTTTAAAAATAATTAACGATAACCTGATTTAAATATATAATAGTTGGGACGAGAAATAATATGAAATTTTCAATTCAAACGTAATCGTGAAAACGTTAGGAAAAACAAGTTCGAAGGGGATTTAATTTATTTTATAGAAACTAAAATTAAAGTATATTTGATAATCGAGTTCAGAATGCTGTACTGGTAAATATCTTAAAAATACTTAAAAAATCCTGGAATGCTCCAGGCACCGAGGTGGCTCGAACCCACAGCCTATCGCAATCCGGGCGAATGCTATAACCAAGTAGCTCAAGATCCAACAGAACCAACATGACTTTCCAAACACTTTTTAATTTTCGCTACTAGTGAGCTTATTTATTCAGTTACGCTCAAAATAAAGGTTAAAGCAGTCACCCGTTTTGCAAAAGATTGTGGCTTCAAGTCCCAGCTCGGGGTACTCAAGACTGGTGGATTTTTTAACCATTTTTCATTAAGAAACTATAGTGATACGATTAACACTTGATATATATTTTTTTGCTATGTTATATTTTAAATTTTTAAACCAAGCGGATTTTTTAAAGTTTTTATGTAGATGTTCATTATTAATTGTGTAAGCGACATGTGACGGTTCAATGTTTGATGTATACTTATTCACCTCAAACCAAGAGTGAATAGGTTTCTTCTAGACGAGCTCGTTTTACCATTCAATGACATCTATCATTTATATTCTTGGACTAGATTAAGCACAAGAGCGAGCCCATTATAAATAAAGAAAAATACCTTTGATTTTTATTATTTCCACAACACCCAAATGTTGGCAGTGAGTGCTTAAGGCATTAAGTACGCCTTTGTACTATTGTGCATAAAGATTTTATAAACAAATATGTTAACTTTGTCATAATCAAATAACAGATGAATGTATATTTTCATATACAATGTCTTAGACTATAAATTCTTTCTTACATCTCTAATCGTTATGGCTTAAGTTAACATGATAATTTTTGTTACAGTGCTGGTATCCGTTGGTGGTTTCCAGCAGCAATACTTCAGGGTAGTGCCTCGCAGCCTGAAGGTTCAGGAAGGCTCGGAGGCCGTGCTAGAATGTGCGGTGGCCAACTTAGCAGGACAAGTGCAGTGGGCTAAGGATGGCTTCGCATTAGGTAAGTGCAAATAAATCATTATTTTCTCATCTAAAAGTGTTAAAAGCTAAGGTACTTTGTTTTATTGAGTTCCCGATGGTGACATAGTGAACAGCGAAACGAGTGTCGAACGTAAAAGTACTCGAAAGAAGGTAGACAGATATATCTGCCAATGTCAACTACCCGCAAAAACTTCAGATACTCCTTGACCACGGCGCTTGCAACAGCGTCGAAGTATCGGACTCAATAAAAACAAGGGACTCGATAGCAATCCCATAAAAAAAAACTATAAGTTAAACACTCAATCGTTTATTGCAAATTATAGTGTAACATAATCAAATTAAAACTATGGACCCTGTCGGCACAGCGACAATACACAGAGAAGAGGAAAATATTATGTTTATACTCATTTTAAAATCAAACGATAATTTTATATAAATACTAAAATCATGCTAGTGTAATATATAATTCATTCTAAAGTATTATAAAACTCTTGCAGTACATGTAAAATACAAAAATACATGCAGTACCGCACTCAATTATATAAATTCATTGACGCCCTCAATGACTGTAATAATACACAAGTTCTTACGTTGAATTCAATTATAAAATATTCAGTCTACAACTATGCTGCAAACAGACGTAAAGAAATGACAAAACAATTATATCATAAACATCGCCAACAACAGAATACAACGTATCATACAACGGTTCAAATGCCAGCCAGTTTGGCTGCATTTCAAACAACTGGTATAACGGAGGCAAGAAAGTAAAAAAGAAATAATCCGCTTCCTGCGTAATCTTCGTTCCCTTTGAATTTTAAGTTGGCAACAACTTGAGATGTCTTTAATTGTGTTTTGGCGACAAATTCTTTTTCGTTAGAAAAGGAAAAACGGGAATTATTTCTTCCGTGCCATTGAACTCGGGGTATTTAATTATTTTATTTTTTTTTTACTTAATTTGAATTCTTCGAATGCCGTCACAGGGAATGCGGTGACATTCACAGTTATTAATTTAAGTTTAGAATTATCCTAATATTTATTAGTTAAATTATTTGTCGCTATTATAAAGCTGAATATACAAAACTAGTTTCGGAATGGCGAGAAATAAATAGTATCTTTTAAACACTGACTCCACTAACATCAAAGCTTTATTATGCTCAGATGGTGTCGCCACACTACCTACGACATGTTAACTGTTATGGAATAAGGACGATGACTGCTAAAAAAAATCTATTTAGTTAGTTAATCAGATAATAGACAAATATTAGATACGTACTTTTTTTTTGCTACAATTTAAAAAGAAATTGCTTCGATGATAAGAATTAAAGTTGAGGACTACGCTACGTCACAGTTCTGTAGAAAATGTTACAAAAGAATGACGTCATGCGACATTTCAACTCAATATATCGTCATAATTTATAGATGACATAAAAAAATATATACCTGTTTAACATTTTTCAATCATCTATAAACAAAAATTTGTTGACAACCCTATTAGTTTCATCAAAAATATGCCCATTGAGAGTAGCTCAGTGGCGCAGTGGAAAAGGGCCGCGGCTGGCGATTTTTATTGCTAAGGAACTTTTTCAAGGGTCGGGCACGGAATGGATGATCAAATAATTACTATCGCGAGCTACTTTGTACTCCCAAGAGCACGTTAAGCCGTTGATCCAGACTGCATTTGCAGTCGTTAATATCCTCCAATCCACATTGGGCCAGCGTGGAGAGTCGCGAATCATCCTCCTTAACTATCCATAAAGGCCTGAGCCCCTGAAGTAAAAGGGTACTTTAGTGTCACGACATTGATTGTGTAACAAGCCGTTTACACGAGAAACAATGAAACTAGTGTTGTAATGTAAAAATAGCTTGAGTTTGAAGATAATTCTTTGGGGTATTCTAATTGGTTAAGAATTATATGAGCACGCGATTCCGTTTTTTGGTACTTTTATAGTTGTGTCAATAAATGGTAAGATTCTCCAACTGACAAGTATCGTCTCACACAACTACACAAACCACTATTTCTTTATAACCATATATGCTGTGTATGTCAAAAACAAACTAAAGTTTTTCGAGATAAATTGTGTCCATAAGCTAAATTACTTGTATTTACAAGAGAATTAGAAATGAGTTGTTTTAAACCCGATTTTCTCTACGTGAAAGGTAAACATTTCAATATTAATAAGATAATTTGGCATTTATATCGTCTAGATCTGGACTCTAGCAGTGTTATTAATAAACAAGGTTTAACGTTGGAGTTTAAATTTACTTAAGAACTTTGTATTAGGCAAAATTCATATTACTAAACAGAGACTTAGCAAAGGTTAACCTAGTATGAGCTGGAGGGATTATTCTCTGTATAAAAGAATTTGGACTAATATTAAATTGGAATTTTACCGTAAATAAAATTTGAATTGAAAACACATCGTGTACATGCGATATAACAAGATGGTTCAATGCAAACGATGCAAGTTATATTGTATATATTTGTTTGGTCCAAACCTTAAGAGAAAAGCGGTAATGGTTTATTAACACATATCTCAATTATTTATACTAAAGTTTTTCTGTTATTAAGTTAGCCACGGTACTGTTAGAAGTTTAAATTTTGAGAGGCGTGAAATAATTTAAGGTAACTATAACTCTCTGTGTTTGTACGCGAGCAATATTCGTTGAGTTGAGTGTGAATCTTAACGTAATGGTTTAAAGTCTATATTAAAAGGACGTTATTATTCCACCGAATCTAGCTTCCCCTTTTCGGCGATGTTATGTATAAAAATTTTCTTCTGAACTTATTTTGAATATAGTTTTACAATTTAAAAAACATTGAACATAGATTACCTGCTTTATTTCTGATACTACGTGGGCAAAGCTAAGTATAAAAACGAGTGCAAACCAACTTCTACTATAACTTGCTTTTATTTACATACTGTACGTTACAACTCATACATATATTTTGGAAATATAATTAGTTCTTATATTTTCACAATTTTTATAAGCGAAATATAAATATTAAATATGTTAATATAATTTGTTGTGTTTGTGCGCTTTTTCATTCAATAAATTTAAATTCAGTTTTTTATGCTAATTTCCGTACAAATTCAAATTGACAATGCAAGCACAATTATTTTTGAACATCTATTTATTGAAATCCAAAGTAATTCTGATGTCTTGATTAAATTTGCGACAGCGACATCAGTGTTTATATAAAAATTAACCGTGGTCTGCCTCTTGTCACTTAAACCGCACATTAGGTATTCAGTTGGGCATGCACACTGTCACTTGGCAGATTCCTAGCAATTGGCTTTTGCATAGATCGACCTATATAATCATGTTTGTAAGATGAATGTATAGACTCGTACTACGCTTTTCATGACGAGAGGATCCTTTATACCTATATGAATTACAAAATTGGCAGTCATCAAGGAATCGGGAACGGCTTAACGTACTTTCTAAATCAAGGAGGAGCTCTAGATAATTAATGAATGATCACCCATCCTATAACCGGTATTTATGAAAGTTGGGTAAATTCAGCATCGCAGACCGACCGAACTTTCCACTGCGCCATCGAGAAATAATTTTCGTAGAATTTATCCATCTCAAATCAATTTTAAGCTTACAAAATACTAAACTAACCTATAAGGAAGATAGTTATACTACTTTACAAATCAATATAAAATCAAAATATACTTACACACCTAGCAACACAACAAATCTTTTTAAAAATTAATATAGAATAAATAATTCATTTAGTAATTTATTATAGAAGTTAAATTAATCAAAAGTTAATAATATTGCCAGATGTCGAATATATTAGCAAACGTCTAAAGAAACATTGTGAAACTAATTTCACAGTACCAATTGGAGTCGCCTACGCCACAATTAAAACTAAAAAAAGGCGCAACCAAAAAAATCTGTATGAAAAATTGCAAATTTACAAAGATGATTATTTTAAAGACGCATAAAATTATTTAGTCACACTACACTAGTGCTGCACTGTCAGTTAATTGTTTTTTTTTTGACATAAACGCGACGCAATCGTATTGCATCGATATAAGAATCGGTAACGGTAGAGATGTAGCACGCAAACGTTTCGTTTGCTAATCCATACTAATATTATAAATGCGAATATAATTCTGTCTCTGTGTCTGTTTCACGTTTTCACATTTCACACATAAACTACTGAACTCGGAAAAGGTCATAATATAGTTTTTAAATAAAGGATGTAATAAAAAAAGGGTGATAATAATAGGTTATGATTTACGCAGGAGAAATCGCGGGAAAACAGTTAATTTTGTATTTTTTAATCCGCTAATACCGGAAATTAAACACAAATAGATGTCTATAAACATACCTATGTAATACAACTACTCTACCTAGAGGTTGATAACCGGTGTACCGATGTTTGTCAATATATTTTCATTTTTTTTTGTTGCTATTTAATTAGATATATAAAATACCAGCTGTTCCAGCAACTTCGTGTAAATTATGTAATTATTAGCGTATGCCACCCGCGTATGATGTAGCTTCCCATAGGCGAAAGAATTTTTCAAAATCGGTAGTACTTTCGGAAACTAATTGATGCAAACAAATAATCATATATTTCATTTTTAATCTTGTGTACAAAATCGTGTTTTATTCCCTCCTATCCCATCAAAGCTGATTATGAAATGTCATTAACAAATTATTAATAAGCAATTTCAAACACAAATTATATTTACTTCAGAGTAAATTGCTTATAATTTGAATATCACCCGACAGTGTATTTTGTAACTTTATATAATAATAAAAAATTTCATTTACATTTCATGTTTCTAATAAGATTATTGACGAAAAATACATAACTAAAATATTGATTTAGTTAAAAAGTTCAGTGTAATTAAAAAGCCTCGTAGCCAAATGTATGACATATATGTAAATGCTTTGTGAATGAATCATTTCTATGAGACATGTTATAAACAAAATTAAATAATAATTTCGTTTCCATCTGAATGAGTATGGCATTTTATTTATAATAAAATACACAATGATTTATTATTTTTCAACGTACATTAATGGTGCTATCCTGTTTAATAAAAATGGTCTATTGACGCACTGTCATAGTACAACCAGTCAATTAAATAAAACTTACTTCCAAAGATGATATGTTTCACTGAAACTTTATAATGTGACAGGCTTCGTTCGGCGACACGTTCCAGGCTATTTTTTTTTTTGTAACAGAATAGCATAGAAAATTTACAATATACTACTCAACGCGATTCAAAATCTTTAAGACTGGTTTCATAAAATCTTAACTATGTATTCACGATAACTTAAGTTTTTTACTTTTCACATGGCAAAAAGTCCTAGCTTTTGTCAAACTGCTATAGCTTATCATTGAAAAAACTAAAACCAGGGACGAAAACTTGTATAAGTGATGTTTAAGTACAGTTTGAGACGTGCTTAACTTTAAATACTTAATTCAGACACCGAGTGTTAGTCAATGATAATAAAAATTTATCTTACTTTGATTTTTTTAGTAACCATATTTGATTCTGTGCGAGTATATTTTAACTATTTTACTTTTTAAATAAACGATATTTGAGGATATTTATGAGGAGCTCGATGGCGCAGTAGTTAGCGCGCTCGAACTGCGATTTAGTTGCTAAGCAACTGTCGCAATGACCGATCATAGGATGGGTGACCAAATAAATATTTTCCGTGCTTCGAAAACCATCGATCCCGGCTGCATCTGCGGGCGTTAATACCCAACCAATCCGTACTAGGCGTGCGTGATG